CCTGCTGCTTTTAATTAGCTCTGGGCTTTGCTAAGTCTCTGCAATGTAGTTCCTCCTTTTTATTGAAAGATGGCAAGGTGGCTTTGGGCTTATGAAGAAAAGCAATGTGACCTTGAACAGTCGGAGGTACAAATATTGCGTGGCCTCTCGGTGTCATCGCGTGATCAGCAGCTGCTCTGAAAGCCCGTTGCAGCCCTCGCCACGTGCCTGTCTGTGCCGCGGTGTGGACCGGCGCTGCTTGGCGTCTCTCTGTGCGCGGAGTGGTCGGTGGTAGCTCCTGCAGGAGCTCCTTGGGTTTTTTCCTTGGGCCGTTCCCCTGGTTTTGGCGATGGCTGTTGGCTCTCAGCTGCTGAGCATCCTTCCTGTTAGATGGGGCTCCACAGCAGCAGCCACGGTATTTGCATGCAGGGTCCATGCAGCTGCTTCAATTCAATTGTATGCATCTGTAATTAAATATTCCGTTATCAATTAACCATTAATGCTTCCTTGTGATTATTTTAAACCTGTGGGAGCCTTATGGCTAAAAGTTAGCTGTTAACTGCTGGTGAGCATGATGTTTCTTATTAAATACGTAGCTGTAGCCGTGTTACTTCTTATCCATCAGAACTTCTGCTCCTGCAGCCCATCCAGCTGGGTGTCAGGCAATGCATTGGTGCCTGGGGTGTGAACTGTCACTCTGCATCTCTTCAGCTTAAGAGGTTGCTGTCGAGGGAAGGCAGCTGAGAGATGTGTAGCATTTGGGATGCTGTATGCATGGCGGCCAGCCTGCTGGCCACACCAGTCAGGATAGGAGAGGCTGCAGCCTTTGCACGGGAGCACGTGCCTCTCTGCACGCTCCTACTGGCGATGCCGGGTTCCTCTCCTCCTTGCGCCCTTCGTCCAGGCGGAGCTGAGCGGCTGAGGTGGCCTGTGCCTGCCCGGGGCACAGGGGGGGCTGCAGCACAGCCCTGCGGACCCACCGGATTCGGGATGGTGTGCACGGCCTCTGCTCTCACCGCAGCCTAGGCCCAAGCATGGAGGTTGTTATAGTGCCCCTGCTGCTGTACGATTCAGTTTAAACCTAGAAGTGGTCTTAGAGCGCTTAGAGTTTTAAAGGGGAGCTGAGATTTTTAGTGTAAAGCGGCAATAAACCGAACCTTTGAGGAGGGCCCTGCAAAGGAGGAAAAAGGAGCTTGAATTCAAATTTTCTCGACAGCAGGGAAACCGCCTGTTTCTTCACTAGGCAAAGGTAATGGTTCAACCCAATGTGCTACAGGGCTGATGGAAAGACTGTCCTTGGGCCTGAGCTAGGACTGAAAAAAGTTTTTTTCACTTAGTTGCTTCGTGCTGTGTAAGATTACAGCTGCCTCGGGACCGTAGAGGGACGGCAGCGCTCGCGGATTAATGCCCCTTCTGCAACCTGCAGAGATTGCCCTCCTTGGGTTACGCGTTGGGGGCTCCAGGCTCAGTGCAGATACAGAAGCTGGAGTTAAATCTCTGCAAGCAATTAAATTAATTAAAAGGCAAGGCCTTTATTTTCCTGAACCAGATTCCATTAAAGAGGCCCCATTTAACTGGACTGAATTAAAAAACAAAAAAAACAACTTTAATTGCTTGAGTACTCTTATATGGTGTCTGAAAAAGCAATTTAGTGGTGAGATAAGAAATGCTCCTCACCTGTTTAGACGTTAATGTGTTCACCCCCCTCACCCCCCCCAGGCGAATTATTACCCTTCTTCGGAAGGAGAGAAATAAAATGGGAAGAATTCAGAAACAGTAGTAGGTGCCTGTCTTTGCTACAGCTGAAGTCAGCAGATACTCACGTTCTTCCACTAGCATCTTTGGCTTGCTGGTGGTTTGTCACCATTTGTTCTCCTCTTTATGTCTGTGGGGTTTTTTTTTCTGAACTGTTGATGTTGTGCTTGTGCACAGTGCCTTTCCAGGTGTGCGTCCCGGTGGTTGGTTGGGCTCCTGATGCTCAGCAAAGATGGCCCTGCTGGGACTGTGGGCTGTAGGCTGAGACGTGGGTAAGGAGAGAGCAGCTGCTTCCTTTTTGCCATCCTTATCAGCGTATCTCAGCTGTTGCTTCAGTGCAAAATCAGAATTGGATCACGATGAGCAGCACAACCTGTGGTCTAAAACGGCTACAAATACCACAGCCTGCCACCTGACATTAGCAATAAGCTGCTTAACTTCAGAAATAAAAGGGATGGGGAGATAAAAGGGAGGAGAAGGGAGTCTCTTAGACTGGAGCCCTGGAGAATAGTCTTTTTCTCTCCTGAGTTTAAGTGCTGGAATACACAGACATGAGAACCTGATAGCGATTTTTGGGCCGATTCAGTCCTTTCTGAAAGCTGTCAGTGTCTCCAGTGAGTAATGCATGGTGCTGGAGAATTTCCATACAGGAAACAGGGAGCCATTTTCTTTCACCGTAAATCTCCTCTAGTTCTTTTTAGCAGGGCGAAGTGGGTGCAAAGTGATTGATTGTGTGATTCTGGGGATTCTTGTGGCTGTGATTGATTTTGCTTTCGATAATTATGCATACTATTGCAAAGGTAGCAACGCTAGCAAGAAGTGCAATCCATTAATTTTTCTAATTGATTTTCAAAATGTTAATTCACTCTACTGGTAGAGTTCTAGCTGTTAACTTCATATACCCAGGATCCTTGCAAGTTAATACAGGACTACTCATCTACTTAAAAGTAATAGTACATGTGAGTAGGTTACTAGTGTGGAGATTACTGAATCTGCTTCTCAAAGGGGTATGCATAATAAAAATAAATGAGGGGGGACAGGAGGGTGAAATGCTGCCTCACATTCAGGCAGATTAATTTTATTGTTCTCTAGTTCTTATATTAGGTAATTGAATTACTCAGCTCTACACAGTTATGAAAGCAAAATTTGGCTTTGCATACCTAAAGATTATTTATAAGAAGTTTGGCTGTTGATTCAGAATGAATAATAAAATAACCTTTGGGGGGGGGGGGGGGAGGGTTAAGTTTAAACGTGTTGTCATAACAACTAGCTATAGTAACTTTCTCGGGGTTGGTTTTAGACCTCCCATGTTTGGTCTCAGCCTAAAATGTGATTATTTGAACTTATTTGGAGAAGTTTCGAATTAAATTGGTTCAGCTGTCGTTGAGTTATTCAAGGATGGAGGAATGCCATATAGAATGTATATTTTAACACCTATTTCAAAAGGCTCTGCAAGAATGAAATGAAAATAATCAATAGATAAATGGTCAGGAATAATCTTAAACAATTTTATAGTTTAAGGAGTGTTTTCAGTCGCACTTCATAATTATGCAGAATTCAGCCACATGCTAGAAGTTAATGCATGGTTTGAAGTCTGTACTGTAGGTGGCAGAGATGCATTAGTTATGCAGTATAATTATCTTGGCTGCTTCATCAACGAGTAGCACAGGATTATGTTGAAGTTCATCTGCCATTAGTAAATGCGCTGCCAAGTATCATCCTGGATTCTTGCTACTTGCTTTAGAAAAAGGTAGAACTTATCTCTGGAGGTGTTAAATCACTGAAGGACTTTCTAAATACTTTCTTGGTTATCTGCTCTGTTGTTGGAAGTGTGCAGTTATAAAATTTGAAGTATCCCTGTGAGTTGAGAGTTACAGAATCCTTTTGCCTTCATCCAAAAAAGAAGAAGTATTAGAATACCAGTAACTTTTAAATAAGTGACAGTCTGTGATTAAAAAATGAAAGTGGACTTTGTTAACAATAATAGGATTCCATGATAGCTTTTGTCATAGTGGTTTTGTTTGCCTCGCTGTGGTTAATGTTACCGTTATATACCTCAGTTCAAGGGTGCTGTGACTTAGGTAAACCTTGTTCCAGACGAAGCCTCGGCATGTGACAGCCCAGCCAAGGATTATGGGCTTTTTCTTTCCTGGAATTTAATAAAGCAAGCAGCAAAATAAGGGGGGGGGGGAGCAGGAAGAGAACAGTTGCCAAAAGGACTGGAAATGGACTGTGGAGCTTTCCCCCTCAAGTTTGATGGTTGTAATCTTCTCCAGGTTGGAATAGGTCATAAATCATCGCTGTTTGCTAGCTATTTCCAGTAAAAGAAAATCACGTGTGCAACTCTTTGCCTTCCTCAGTTAAATTAAACATTTTTGTTAGCAGCCTTCACCAATGATGAAGGCAGGAATGAGCTCAAGAGTCGAGCTCATCTTGCATAGCTTAGGTGTAGTGTGTCCGCTGCGATGTATTAGTCATTTCCCTTTGCTATCGGTAAGATACAAAAGGTGACACAAAGCAACCAGTTTACGACTATCTTGTAATTTCTGCTCGTTCCCTGTGGTATAGGAGAAGGTTTGAGCCTCTCGACTGTCCTTTTCGACTTGTTTCGTTTGTCTCGTATCACAGACGTTTTCAAGGTTGAACTCTGCCCCCCATATTCTGTGCCTTGAAAGAAAAGGCAAACAGAAAACCCTGTAGCTATAAATGTGTAACCCTCCGATGGGAAGAGGACAAGCCAAGGAATGCACGCCTTCACAGGAGTGACTGAGTAAATATACTATTAAGACAGAAAACAGAAGAAAAGACCCAAAAAAGAGCAATCCTGAATTGTTGATGGCTTCTCCATTTAGTTCACACTGCCAAATTTTTTAGTTTAGGAGAAGCTGAGCGAGTGATAAAAGGACAGGTGAGCAGCAGCTGACCCAAGGGTGGTTCTGTGTCCTGGCTGGGGCGGGAGGTCCCGCGCTGCCGGCGCCCGGCAGCCCTCCCGTTCCCTAGGGAAGAGCAAGAGCTCTCCCTCTCTGGGGACGTTCCCTCGGCACTGGAGGGGCTCGACTCGCGCAACCCGAGGCTCCAGGGGCCTGCGCTAAATAAGGGCATTTGAATCAGTTTTTCCTTTGTATGAGGTGCTTTCTTTGAGCAGATAGTACTTGTTCAGCATCTCTTTCATTCGTGTAGGAGAAAGATTGACTGGAAGGGCAGGCTTTTTAGTGTAATTCCCATGTCAAAATAATATTTGACTGTTATTGGTTGGTTTCTTGCAGGTTTACTGGAATGAATCTGCCTGCCCCAGTTATCAGCAGTAAAAATTGGCTGCGGCTTCACTTCACATCAGATGGCAACCACAGGCAAAAGGGGTTCAGTGCCCAATATCAAGGTAAATGGTTATTGCCCAGTCTGCCTATTCACAGTGCATATTTAGCCAACTTTTTTCCCTCCAGGAATCTCCAATTAACTTCCTGCATGATTCTTTTGTAGCCCGTTAACCTTATTTTCCAGCAGGGCGTCCAGGCTTCATCGTGTCTTGTGCTGCTGGCAACGTATTGTGTGAACACTTGTGTGCTGCTGGAAGGATCGTTGGCACTGAATGCTTCGTTAGCAGAAGCAGACCTTGTTTTGCCCTGCAGCTCCAGTGGAGATGACTGGGATATGGCAGTGCAAACAGGGTGCTGCGAGGCAAAGGGCAGCGTAGCGTTCTGCACGGTGACACCGCTAAAGCGAGAGCTACCTTAGTCTGTTTTGAATGAGGCATAGACTGTCCTGTATTTATTGCTCCTCTGTAGAGGGATGAATTTCAGTTTTGGGATCTCAGGATGCTGTTGAGAGGGACACAAGTCAAGCAGAGACAAGATCCTGTTACGAGGTTTGTAGGCAATCGCAGGAAACTGCAATTAAGTGATTTGCCAGTCTCGTGAACTGGAGCTCGTACCACTGTCTTTCTGGAAATGAAGGTTCAAAAATCAATTAGCCCTTACATACAGCAACCGTAAGGATATTGAGGCAAATACAGCATCACCTCCAGGCCACAGTCTTCCCCATGGTGGGGGCTGTATGAGTGGCTGGGATTAGAGCGACAGAATTAGTGACGGAGCTGCAGCGTAACAGGATTACCTGCAGCAGCACGAGGAAGGGGAGGCAGGATCAGGTAAGAACATGCTGCTCTTGCGTTTTCTCACAGGGTGTTATTTAGTTATTAACTGTTTTTGTGCAGGAATATGCAATGCAATTCAGCGGGATAAGTAGAGAAAAAGGCGGGTCTTGTATTCTTTTAACCACCTGCAACGCAGAGATGGGCAGTCAGCAGAGGCCTGGGGAGCTGTGCTGAGACGCCAGCCCTTTGGGCTTTCCCAGTGACCTCTGCCTGTGGCCGAGGAGGAAGCTGAAACGCTTCTCCAGCGTTCCTGGCGCTGTGGGCGCCGGAAGGTTTCGTCACCACGCCCATTTGTGACCCCATGGGCACCAAAACCAGGTGGGTTTGGGCTGGATTACTTAGAACTGGCAACACCCTTCTCCCAGAGGGCTTGGAAGCGTTTGTGGCTGCGGCAGCGTGCCGTGCTGTC